TCCTGAGCTTGTCACACTCTGGAGAGGTAAACATAACCATCCAATCATTAACAATTTGTAGTGTTCATGAGTTTGTAAAGACTATTAAACAGATCACAGGCCCATAGCAATAATTTAAACATCAATTCATGCTACATTGTTGTGCACAGGCAGCTCAAACAAATATTTTATTAATCAAAGAGGCTATAAAATCAAATATTTATTTCCAAAAATCGCCCTGTGGAGAACTAAATGAAGCAATAAAAGTAAAAAATATTTCTTAGAAAAAACAGCTGCAGTGCACATGTTCTGTAAGTGGAAGGACTACAGAATTTAAATAAATGAAACACATAACTGTTTTTGAGAACAAATGAGAATGAAAAAGAGTATTTCTAGCCAGCACAGAATGCATCCAGATAAGCACACTGCAAATAAGAGATTTCACATAAAGGCTGATGACTCGGCCTGATAGATAGATAGATAGATAGATAGATAGATAGATAGATATCTTGAGATTTTTGTCACTAAGAGCTCCAGCCAAATAAAAGAGTAGTGTCTGTTTTTACTGTAGGACTTAGAGTTCAACCTGAATATGTCAGAACTGACTGTTGGGTTATGGATGGCCTGCAGAGGGGGGGTCTCCACCTCCACCTAATGCCACTGACATATCCATCTATTTCAGCTGATCACCACCTCTGGCACCTTCATAATGAGTGCCTGCTGAGAAACACTATTAGCTATTCTCTCTCTCCCTTTCTCGCTCTCTCTCTTCTGTCTTTATGCAGAGCTCAATTTAATCACTAATCTTCCTGCAGTAGCACATGATAAGACACGGTGCCTTATCCAGCGTAGCTTGCCGTTTGCACAAAATGCACAATATCTCAGCTGGTTACTGTCTTATAATCTATAAAATGTAAGCAAAGCAAATCTTCAGTCCTACATTCGCTTTCTGTATTTTCATTTAAGAAGTCCTAGTGAGAGAAACGGATTACTTCTGGATATAAACTGATTGTTATTTTTTTCCAAACAAATTCAATTTCAGGTACTACATACTGTAAATAAATATGAATTCAATGTAAAACTCTCTGTTAAAAGAATGAGAGTAGAAGAAATTAATAATGCATAGAGGATGGTGATAATCTTATATGTACACTGTGTGCACTGACCAGGTGATTAGACAGTTCAGTAACACAAACCTGCAATGTCAGCAAGCCTGCAAACAACATATAATGCAAGTAGGAACAGCTTGGCCTGCATTCTTAATGTATATTAATATGTCTCACACATATGCTGGACAGAGGCAAGAGATTCATTTAGATTACATGAATTATAAAGCACATCACTTAACTCAGAAATAAGCTGTGTTTCTCATGCTGCGTATTATGAGAAGCACATTATTATAGTATATAGGAGTGTTGGTATGTTTTATTGAGGCGTATAATATTACTCCACAACGTGCTAATCAGTAAAAACTCTACTGGAGTCAATAATTATAATTAGCTGTGCATTTTGAGCTGTGATTAGTGAGTAGAGGCTAATACAGTTTAATATGTTAGTAGCTCAAAGAGTGAAGGACAAAGAGTGAAAGAGAGAGAGTATAATCCTTAAGAGGACTTAACTTCAAACCTTTCACTTTACCTCTCACTTCTCATCTTACTGCAGGCAACATGGACAAAAACACAGTTTAGTGCCCCTAACAATTACTTCATGTTTCTAAAAGCAGCTTCGTCTACCATCTAGGAAGGGGTTAAAGGAATAGATCAGGCAAAAATTTTAATTCTGTCATAATTTATTAAACTTTAAGTCAATACAAACTGGTATGACTTTCTTCTGTCATATGAACAAAAAACATCTAATTTTGTTTTGAGCTTCATTGTAAGGAAGAATGTTTTACAGGTTTGGAATGACATGAGGGTGAAGGTATCAATGGATGACAGTACCTGATTGTTGCAAAGGGACCAATTGGTTATCAAAACCTATATTTTCAATAAAAATTGACTGTTGTACAGCTGCAGTGCCTGCAGTCGACTCTTAATTGCCGCATTGTGATTCATAGAGTGAGGGGAAAAACATTCAGAAACTGTGATGTGGGTGGTTGATGAATGCAAATTAAATTAAAACATTTATATATTTAATTCACAATTATAACAAACAGACCCTGACCCTGCCAAAGCTCACTGGGAAAAAGGGGAAAACAGACATTTGGTGTGCCACCTGCTGCCCCCGCTGGAGCCAAGACAGCTCACAAACATGCACCAGTACATTAGCATTCCAGAGCACCTCAGAGGACTAGTTATTTAGGCAATAGCAAGGTCAAATGAGAGAATTTAAGAAGAGTCATGAAAGTAAAATGTATCTGGTTTCCAGATACAAAGGGAAGTGATGTTGTTCACTGGAATAGGACAATATACCCAAGTGCAGCAGAAGGTCAAATGACGAGGACATCTGCCATTAGGCTCTAGTGAAGCTGCTTCAGGAAGGTATTTAAAAATCCCTGTGGAGAGTGTACTGATGCAAGGTAACATGAACCAAAAAACAGGCAAAGACATAAAACTTAGAAGATTCAGAAACATAGAGATTGTAAAGTCGACGAGAAACATTATTCACAATCCATTTTACTTCCATTATGTGAAATATACTTAAGTGGAACTAATGGACATAGACATTAAGTGCTAATGGGTATACTTAATGGAATAATTTGGTTATTGCTCATAGTTTAAATCACTATGCCCGATTATTTACCTGCCCACATGTTTTTCTGGAGATCACCGACAAAAGCCCAAAATCTGAGGCAAATGTGCTCCTTCATGCGAGTGAAGATCACATAGTGTGAATTATCAGCGTTGCCTATGCCTGAGACATATTTAGCAGGCTAAATATCTGGACCTGTCTGCAATTCAGAGTCTTGCATTGTGTTTTGGCTGGAAATGACATCTGCAACAACCTACAGTACAGCCAAAGGGAGAGCAAGATACAGGGTAATTCTGCTCATGTGTGATCTTACGTAATTTAATGTACTGTACAGTTTTACTTCTCGCGCATATGTTTTGTAAATGAGACATAGTTGTTGGGGGTTCCTCCTAGTGAAATACTGTGCAATGTATGACCCCAAGTCGTTGATCTGTCATGTAATGTGCAAACAGCAAATTTATGATACCCAAAACAGTCGTGATCTGACAACACTGAAAACCGGGGAGTGTATTGGCGGCATAAGGAAAGTAGTTTCAGAAGTCATTTCAGAGGCAGATAACATTTTGACGAAAGATTATACTACTTTAGAAAAACCTGCACTATGCAACTAGTAAGTCAACAGGTGCAGATTATTATATATAGTGATGAATACAACAGTGTCAGTAGTCCATATTGACCTCTGAAGTCTAGATTTGAAGCAGGGTTATAACATTTGTATGAGGCAGTATACTGTCAAAATGCTCTGCTTCATTACAGGGTAAAACGGTTGTGCAAGAGAACTTTCTGCACTGTGGTAATGTTATCTTCGTTATAATGGTCAATGGTCTGTAACAGAGAAATCACATATTCTTCTGCAGGGCATTTTGTACTTGCAGATTATACATGAAGCAATTATGCTGAATCTTATCTTCTAATGAATCACTGTTTGTACTGTTGAGATTATATTTTGCATTTAGAAAAGAAAAAGAAGGGGAAAAAATTACAGTAGTTTTTGTCTCTGACCTCTGAGGACTGTTTTCAGGTTGACTTTGGCCTGATGGTGAAGGTCATCAACGCAGGCTGGTCTGGATCCTGGCAGGAAGACATTCTCCTGTTGGTGCCAGGGGGCTGTGTAGTGCACCGACCACTTGCTCTCCTCATCTAGACTGGACACCGCTACAAGAAACAAGGACAGATTAAAATTCAACATGTTTAAAGGAAGAAGGTCAGGGGTTTGTGTAATAGCGCACTGCAACTAATTAGACTGCTGAAAATGGTATATATGAAAAGATATACAGCATTTTTTCTCCTAAATAACAGATGGGAGACATTAAATTAAAGTGTACTAAACATTTTTGTTGCTCCAGCTTTGACCAGAATGAGCTTCCACTGATGGTCCAGGTTGGCTTATGTTAGTTAGTGTTGGTTTAACTGGTAGACTACAAGGTCTAAGGTCTTTGTGGTGGAGCTATACACCAGAAATGCACATATTTTCAATGGAAATACCTGAGGTCTTTTAGCTTTTAGAACTATTTAGGGGTGCAAATACAGCTACCTGGCTGATATTAGTGATATTTTTTACCATAATTTAACACTCAAAGATAATCTTTAAAAATACTAATACATTAGTTGGTCTCAAAATGAAAATTCAACCTTTAGATTTTCAATTATAATGATGCCTACTTGTAGCATTCATTTTCATTTATTTATATACTTTACATAAAATAGTACAAAATGATAATACTAGCCATAACAACAAATTAATTATTGGCTTATCAGTATGAGCCAGAATTTTAAAATTAGTTTTAATGCTAATCAACTCAACCCAGATGTCAGCAGGAGGAGATATAATTCAGACAGAAAGAAAAACTCTGCCTTTGGCTGCAGCCGCTGGGCATATAAGATTTGGGAGCTGCAGTCATGTGCAGTCTCTTAGGCTCCCTCAGAGAGAACACATGAAAAACTGCATGAAGGGGCCGAGCCAATCAAACACTTCTGCACCACTGCGTCTAAAGACACTGGAGACATGCTTGTCTCTGGCTGGTGCCTTGACAACCCAGATTAAACGATCAATTATGCCAAGGCCCTCCGGGTAAGATTAACCAGGTCAGTCTTATCAATGCATTTTTCCATATAAAAAGTATGTCAGTGATTATAGATTATTCACAATAATAGTTTCCTCAAGTGCAAGAGGTCATGCGAGAATACTAAGTCATGAGCTGAAAATACATGAAGGTAGAATTCACTAATCCACCAAAACATCAATGATTCTGTTGGAATATACCCTAAGGCTAATTCAAATATGTAAACAAGTACAGTATAAGCGTAATCTAAACTTAAATGTACATTTATAACATGCATCAGTATTGTTATTGATAGTCATATATATATATATATATATATATATAATCTACCATTGTCTCATACCAAACCAGCAGTTAATATAAATTTTTTATCTAATTAATTACAGGGTGCTGCGATTAATTAATCTAATTAAGCGATATCACACCAGCAGCAAGAGCAATATCACACGAGTGCTGTTTTTGTCACGAAGAACACGAGTGCAAATGTGATTTTATACAACAGTTCAGTAAATAATAAATTAATATTGTGCTATATTTTAAACACAATATTATGTGTTTTTGTTCAATTTTGCCAATGAAAATATTACCTAAAAAGCCACAGAAGAACTGTTGTGCACGCGCGTCTACGAGCAACACAGCGGGGAATGAATCCGCGTTTTGAACGAATCATGTGAGCCAACGATTCAAAGGCCATCCATGAAAAGAGCCATTTACTTCATTCCTGAAGGAATCAGCCATTTGAACGAATCGACTCATAAAGACACTTACCGCCACCTGCTGGTAGTTTTAGTTTCTTAGAGTATAATTTAATTTATTAAAAAAAACATTGAAGGGATAGTTCACCAAAAATAAATAAATAAATAAATTCTGTCATAATTTACTCACCCTCGTGTTGTTTCAAACCTGAATGACTTACTTTCTTTTACACAGCATAAAAGAAGGTATTTTGAATACTGTTTGTAACTAAGCTGTTTTGGTCACTAGTGACTTTCATTGCATGAACAAAAAATACTGAGATGTTTCTCAAATTATCTTCTTGTATGTTCCATACTTTGCAGCACCCTGTAATTAGTTAGATAAAAAATGTAATCGACTGACAGCCCTAATATATATATATATATGCTGATTATATATGTATATATAATCACATTTGGTGAACACTCAAGGTAGAATATATTAAAAATGAACAAAACAGGGCATCATTGCATTACATCACCAATACAAAAAGAATCACTCAAAGTTGCAGAACAAGGTCACTATAAGGAGTTCAATGCCCCGCTATAAAAAGAAACTCGCAAACAAATGTAGCACACGCTCCGAATCAGATACATGCAACCCACAGCAGCAGTGATGAATAACCCCACACCCCAAACTACTTCAGTCTACTTGACCTTGAGATGCACGTGTGATAAGATAAACCAAAACCAATACTGTACATGATAAGAGGAGCTTACCCTTCTTTTTGAAGTACTTAATGACAGATTTAAGAGTGGTCGAGATGAACACCATTGTGACGGGTGATCGATCCCCTGAGAGATGTGCGCATAAGGATATATTAGTCCACCATCAGAGCGAGTGAGTGTGAGGAAGAGAAAGGGGGCAAAATCTACCCACTACCCATACGACACTCTCTCTTTACTCATTTTACGCTGACTGGCACAGCATGCAACACTCCCCCTCCTCTTCTACCTCTCTCTCTCTTTCTCTATCACTCTCTCTCACATACATTTGCCCACCCCAGAGGATATTCAGTTGCTGTTTGAGTTGTACTCTCTCTCTTTCTGCATCCGCCTTCCTCTGCTCATCAATTGTGCGTCTCTCCTCCCCTAGTGTCTTTAGCTGTAGTGCATGTCTCTCTGTCGCATTGCATAGGTTTAAGTCTCTCTCACCTTGCCTTTACTGCTGTGGAGGTATAACAAACTTGGATCCGTGCCATACACTATGGATCACTGACAATCAGCCTATTGTTTTTCTCTACACCGCTGCAGCCCCTGCCACTCCTCCTTTCGCTCTGTCCTTTTCTTTTGAGCTGGGGCTTTTGAGCTTTTGAGTTTGAAAAGGATCCTAGGGCATTCAGCAGAGATTAAGGTGGTGGTCACCCACCCAGCTCTTATTTAGGGGCTCATTGCTGCAGTATTTCATTAGTGTTGAAGCAAGTGTAAGTTTCTTTCTCCTCCTTGCTCCATTTTTTTTCTTTCTAATGAACTGTGAACGGCCACTCAGCATTTTCACACGTGAGGTTGGTCAGAACTGCATTTGGATTCAGTGCACATGACTCACAGCTGTGGGTTTGCGATATCACTTTATGCCTTTGACATACAGTGAACCTTTGGGGCAGAGAAGACACATTAAGTATTCAGACCTTCAAGTTGGGTTTCTTGAGCAAAGGACAATTAGACCTGGTATCTAATAAGCATGGTGTGCCAATCAGCGGTGCTGTAAATTAGAGCCCTCTGTTCATCATAGCACACTCAGATGACACACAGATGGCCATGATACATTGACATTGATCCAACGCGGCTACCATCATATAGAGCGTGATGACCACTCAGTGGCACAGCAAATGTCTCTCCCTGCTTTTTGCACTTTATGAATAAGAATAGGCTACAAAAATCTGAAGTATGCTGTAACAGTTTTGTACAACAGTGGTAAAAATGTTAATTGCCCTTTTCCCACTAATAAACTGATTTGGTAGTTCTCCCTTTTGTCAAATTCCAATTTACTGGAATTTGACACCACTTTACTTTATTTTGGGCGAATCTGAATAAATATTATGCAACATTTCAAAATTGCAGCTTTGTGTATATTTCATCAGTAGCGTACGGAATTTTATGATTCTGGTTTTGATTCCTCTCACACATTCTAGTTATTGAAAATGGTGTATTTAAAGTCATGATGAAACATCTGAGCGAAACAGATCATCAAAAAAGCGGGTGGGGGGGAAATTGTAGGGCATGGAATTAGTTCTATCCACCCATGTTGACTGGATGGAGGCAGATCTAAATGCAAGCTTGTCGACTGTAAGAAAGGGTTGGGGTTTAAGCAGGCTAAATAATTGGAGAAGTCTGGCATACATCACCAGGGAGAAGTCTGTTGTTTCACCAGAAGTTCGAGTTATGACATTCGGATCAAAAATTATGAGGTATTTTTTTAATGCACAGATGAATTAACACCCTTCAGTCTTTAAGAGGCAGCATAAATGCAATCCAGTTATTGATCTCAACTACATAAACAGTACAAAATAACAAACTCTTAACAAAACTAAAAAAATAATTCTTAATGTAATGTGCTGTAAATAAGCCAGTTTAAACATTCAAGTGCATGAAGAGGATAAACAGAACTCAATTCAGTACTCGCGCACTATTATTTGAGGCATTTGTGCAAACACAGAATTGCATCTTTCGCATATCCTTGCGCTTGAAGGGCACATACACAAAAAATTATCTCACAATACCCTTCTCTGCAAAGATTCTCTTAAATAGTCGGTTATGTCTTAAATGAACGTATACAGTGAAGAAAGAAATTGCATGCGTATCATTATGTTGGATCTGTGCTTCCGGTCTTAAAGGGACAGCAGCCTATACCTGCTGCTCTCTGTCATTGATGTAAATAACAAACAAACACAACACAACTTTAACAAAGATGAATCTGTATTTAATTTATACAGTGAACTGTGCAGTGTTGTTTTACACTTAATTATTACATGTATGTGCTTGAAAACTAATTTTAGACCTTACTTTATTTGCAGCTTTACTATTTTTATCTTGCAATTTGTTTATTTGTTCTTATTTTATTATTGACGCTTCACTTGTCTTTAATAATGTTTGACCTTTATTTGTTATGCTAGTAGTTTTTGGTATCGAAGAAGTACTTAAAGTGTTATTTAAATAATAATTAAAAAAAAAAATCCAAAAAGGACCGATCTGTGACTCAAACCCTGTAATATGTGACCCTGGACTACAAAACCAGTCTTAAGTCGCTGGGGTATATTTGTAGCAAGAGCCAAAAATACATTGTATGGGTCAAAATTATAGATTTTTATTTTATGCCAAAAATCATTAGGATATTAAGGAAAGATCATGTTCCATGAAG